TGGTTGAGTATCAGAGTGTTTCATCTCATTTCCCTTTGGGGTTGCTGTAGGTGATCTGTTTTTGAGACTTATTTATGTGTCTTCTCATTTTGACCCAGGGGGGTGCTGCTGTTGGAGCCCACACAGCTCACCTCTTCTGCACTGGGAGCTGTGGAATGGCGGCCTGGAAGCCCCTTCCTCTGGGCTGGGAGCAGTAGAACAGTGGCTTGGAAGCCCTTCCTCTGGGCTGGGAGCAGTGGAATGGTGGCTTGGAAGCCCTTCCTCTGGGCTGGGAGTGGTGGAAGGCCTCTGCACTCCCTTTGAATAATCATTCCATCCATCTTTAGACTAATACTATCATTTTTGCACACGTAAGTTCTACTCTCTCCATCTCTAATCACTCTGCTCAACTCTACACTCCTATTATCATCTACCTCTGGGACATCAGCAGAATATTTGAAGGTTAAAGATTATAATGCAATAGGGTCGGGGATTTAGCTCAGTGGTTTCACCGCCTGCTGCACAGGCACAAGGACCCAAGTTCAATCCCTGGTACCAAAAAATAAAATAAAATAAAAAGATTATAATGCAATAAACTCAAATATAACAACATTTTGCACCCCAAAAACATAAGTAGTCTTACCCCTAAGTTATGTCTCTGCCTCTGATATCACCAACCACCCATCTTTTCAAACAAACCAGCAGATGGTCATGAGTATGTTTGAAACCTCTCTCTTTCATGCCCTTGCCCTCTAAGCCTTGCACACCTGTGCTTGAACACAAAGACATCCCTAATTGGTCCTACCCATTCTTTGAGTTCTCTCAGTATTTCTTTTTTCTATTCCTGTTGTCCTCACAATTCAGGTGCTCATCATCTATCATATGAATTAATACAATCTTCCTCCTCTCCTCTTTCCCTAACTTTGTTCATTCAATAATTCAGTAAATGTTCTCATAGGCCAATGCTGTTGGCTCTTCTGTGGCCTGTCTCTACAATACAATACAATACAATACAATGCAATACAGAAGTTCTCTACAATAGGAGTTTCAACTCTATTCCTTTTAGAAAAAAGCAGATATAGTTGCTGATAATTTTAGTACATATGTCATGTCTCTTCCCTTTCCCAAATCCTCTTATTCATCATGAAAGGCCTTGATGACAACTCCTAGTCTTGAGCTACCAATGGGTTCATCCAAATTCTGCAAAGCAGGACACTACAATGGCCTTGAATAGGACCATCTTGTCTCTGTGAACACTTTCCATGGCTGGGGACACACAGATTATGGCTTGCCTATTTACCATCCAGTTAACAAACATATGAAGTACCTCTGATGTTCTAGGCACTAGAGGTGAGGAGAGGCTGAGAGAGATTCAGATTTCCCTTGACCTGCAGGGTCTCACCTGGTCAGTTACCAGATGCCAGCTCCTCAGTGTCTGGGTATACTAAGCAAACACACTAGGAAGAAATCCTAGCTATGAACCTCCTGAATCAGCGCTCTCTCTAGCTCTCTCTCTCTCTCTCTCTCTCTCTCTCTCATTTATTTACTCCAGTAAGTGTATAGTGCCCACCTACTATGTGCCGGGAACTTTTCTGATTTGGCACAAAACAATATCCAAGACAGACACAAGCTCTGGGTTTCATAGAGTATGTATTTCAGAGATGAGGAAAGAAATAGAAAAATAAATGAGCACTTAAACTTAGAAGCTCCTTGTAAAACGAGGAACCAGGCAGGGAGGGCCGTGTGGGGGGGGGGGTGTCTAAATAAGGTCATCGGCCTCCTTGAGAAGAAAAGGAAAGTGGCATTTGAAGAAAGATGCCAAGGAAGTCAGGGAATTAGACACCACCACCAAGACCAGGACCCCAATTTGGGCAATTGTTGCTCCAACTGTCTTAGACCCAACTCTAGGAAAAGAACGGTGTGTTCACACTACCAACAGGAGAAGGAAGAACACAGTATGGAAGGAGAAGAAAAGCCGGGGACAACATCAATTATTCTGTGTTGAACTATCCCTGATGGACACTTGAAAACCAGCTCGAGTCCACAGCCCTCCGGCGGCGGGGCCGGTCGAGGGGCTGCCAGGGGGCCCTCTCTCGGGCTGTCAGGCTAATCCTGCTGCCTCCTCCCACCTCGCCCCGCCCTAGTGAGCGTTGGCCCGGGGGAGTAAAGTTCAAACCCGGCTGAAGCGAGCCCTGGGAGGCGATGTGAACAGAAAAGCAGCGTGGCCGACCGAGAAACCTCGGGGAGTGGCCCCCGGAAACCAGGCAGAGGACGGCTGCAGTTCCCCACTACCTGCCCAGGTCTCAGCACCTGCCCCGGGCCCTGGGCCTGCGGAGCCACAGGCGGCCCTGGGTCCTTCTCACGGGCCACAGGATTTCCTTCCCGAGAGGGCCAGGCTCTGGGTGCGCCCGGCCTCCCGGGACGCCGCCGAGCGGGGAGCCCCCTTCCCGGCCACAGCCCGCCCGCCGGGCTCAGCGCGGGCGGATCAGGGCGCGTTCATTGCAGACAGCCCGAAAACACTCAGGGCTGCTGTTTTGCTCTGGCTTGGGTCTCTCCCGCGCCGAGTTGCACAACAAACCATTTAAACATTTCAGCACAAAACCTGATCCATTGTGGGGTCGCACATTAAAAAGTGTTATTCGCTTTGAAGTTTTTGTCTAGTGGCTCTAAACTGAAAGAAAATGTTTTCCTATTACTTAATTCAATCATAGCGAAGAGACTTGGTAAAAAGCCCACGGATTTTGCCCCAAAGTGTGACAGAGTTCTCTTTGTGTTTGCTTATCCTCCGCTGTCACACACTTTAATTCGCCTCTCTTTATCTGGCATTCAAAACTTTCTTCAATGACATTCAATAAGGTCCAGAGGCTGGAGGGAGAGGGGGGAAAAAATGGTTATTTTTTCCCCCTCAGATATTCTTTCCCAGTAGCTTTGGTCTTGCTCATAGTCCGGGGCTCTTAACCCCTTCCTCCCCGGGAGAGCGCGGACTCCGCACTGCCGCTCGCGGGCGACCAGCGTGGGCACAGCGCTGTCTCCTTGAGCCCCGCGGCTCCGTGGGCACCCACTCCCGCCGACCTGCCTCAGCCCAGCAGAGAGTCCCTCTCCGGGCCCTGGTCCCGGCTCTGGCCTCGCTCTCTGAGACAGCCCAGCCCAAATTTCCCAGAGCGGAACCAGAACGGGAATGAGGCTGCGTTGACGCGGTCCGGCTGGTTCGAAGGAGCCCTGGGGCCGAGACCACGGCGTGGGGGTGAGGGGGGCACCCCTTGCCAAGCAGTCAAGGAAACCTTGAACCCTTCCTCCTGCTAGTTTATTTCCTTCCAATGCCCCGGACCTTTAATAGAAGCAGGATCTCCCCCCACGTTCCTTACAACAAACTCTGCTTTTTAAACAGTTGTAATTTGTTTCTGTTATTATTGCAAAGCGATCACGAGCGATGAAAACCCACGCAGAGGCTTGGGATTTGGGCAGCCTCCTTCTTGCGCTCTGATCTCCACCCGCCTTGGGAAGCTTCCTCCTCGTTTCTCACAATTCCATTCAGGGCTCAGAGCAAGCGACTAAGCGATTTGGTTCCAATAAAATCGAAAGTAAATGTCTCCGGCGAAAAGTCACCGGGCCGTACAGTACATTCGAAATATTTATGCTAATTTCCCATTGTATGGAAAAAGCTCCTAGAGGAAACAGCTTTGAGCCGAAGGACCATTTTTAAACTGAGGCTGGGTACACAGCCCCGGTGTCTGAAGTTGTTTAACCATTGTGTGACCAGAAAGAAGCGAGTGGCGCGCCGCTCCGGGAGTGAGGAGAGGGATCCTGGGCAGAGGGGAGCCCGGTCAGGGTGGGCAAAGGCGGCGGGAGCTGTACAGACAAGGGCCCTTGCTCCGCTCCCAACTGTGGGAAGGCATTGGTTTCCGAGCCACTCGCGGGTGTGCGCGCGTGGAGAAGGCGCCCACAAGATCCCGCGACCAGAGCTGGTCCACGCGCGCCACGCTCAATGGGACGTTTGATAGTGTGCTCGGCCTGGGCTTTCATTTTCCCGTCCCTTGCATCTGTGGTGACTCAAAGACTACGTTCCTGTTCCTCTTCTTTACTTTCTTTCTTTTTGAAACATCCACCTCGCCGTTGCTTGAAAAGGACTGGTTGGCCAGGGTCTGCGGAACAAAGGCTGGGCGTGGAGGCGGCAGTAAGGTTAAAACCGCTTGAGAAACAGACGCGAAGGTGGGGCTTGCGCCGGCGGAGAAATAGAGGGCCCTTATTCTCCCTCCCCAAAGGCGCCTCCTCCCCACAGGAACCCCGGTGCTCCAGCTTCCGACACGGGGAGAGAAGGGATTCCACAGGTGGAAATCGGAGGCCGGCTGCAGGGACGCTCGCGGAGAGAGTTGAGCCGGGAAACCGACTAGAAGCGGGGGGGGGGGGGATAACAGAAAGGAGGGGGCCAGAATGGGGGGTGCGCCCTTGAGGATCCGTGGATGCGAGGCGGCGGCGGCGGGGTGCAAAATCAATAAGATAAATGGGCCGATCACCAATCCAAAGCCAAAGGGGAGTAAGGAATAAAGAGAAAGAAAAGAATATTAAATCGCGGGAGAATGAGAAAATAAACCGGCAAAAGGAAGAGGAGGGGGCGAGGGCGCCTGTTACGGCGTGGGTGGGGTTGACAAGAATAGAGTACATTATGCAGTTCATTTAGTTAACAAGTGAAATAATGAGGAAGCGTGCAGAGTGAATGCCAAGAGAAAAGGCACAAAAACCCTATTGAGAGGCCCCGGCCGCTCCTGGCGTAGCCCATCACATGGCAATAGTCCTATTTAAGCGCCGCCGCCGGCGCCTTTCAGCACCACTAGCGCTGGCCAGCACCCCGCGCTCTCCGGGCGCGCGGCGCTGGCGGCAGCAGAGGCTGCGCCTGCGTCTTCTGCCTCTGGCGAGCCTTCAGCCTCCCGCGTGGAGGCAGCTGCGGACGGCCGCGGCCGGGGAAAGCGCTTGGAGAGCCCGGAGGTCCCGCGGGAGCAGAGGGCGAGCTGGCGGCGGGGCGGCCGCGCGCCGGGGCCATGCCGCGCTCCTTCCTTGTTGACTCGCTGGTGTTGCGCGAGGCGGGCGAGAAGAAGGCGCCAGAGGGCAGCCCGCCTCCGCTCTTTCCCTACTCGGTTCCCCCGCCGCACGCGCTGCATGGTCTCTCGCCCGGCGCCTGCCACGCGCGCAAAGCCGGGCTGCTATGCGTGTGTCCGCTCTGCGTCACCGCCTCGCAGCTGCACGGGCCCCCAGGGCCGCCCGCGCTGCCGCTGCTCAAGGCATCCTTCCCACCCTTCGGCTCGCAGTACTGCCACGCACCCCTGGGCCGCCAGCACACGGCCATGTCGCCCGGGGTCGCCCATGGCCCGGCAGCCGCCGCCGCCGCCGCCGCCGCGCTCTACCAAACTTCCTACCCGCTGCCGGACCCCAGGCAGTTTCACTGCCTCTCCGTGGGTAAGCGGGGTGGCCACGCAGAGGGAAGGGCCGGGCTGATCCGAGGCAGGTTAGGGAGCCAGGGATTGGGGAAGACGGACCCTGAGTGTTGTGGAGGGGATGAAGGTCCCATGGGGGACCCGAGGGGGGCACTCAGGGTGGTGGGGATGGAAGGGGGAGCGAGATGCCCGGGGGAGGGCGGGAGATGCAGGACCCGGAGGGGGCATCCAAGGAGACCCGATTTCGGCGGTTCCGGACGCTCCAGGATCAAGTGCCAGGACCAGGTGACTCCGAGAGAATCAGGGTCCTGTGGCTTGGCGAGGAGGCCTCCGAAGTCGCCGCTGGGGATCGTGTTGGGGCTGAGGGGCGTGTGAGTCCGAGGTCTCGGGACTCTAGCCGCCTTTCAGAAGGGAACTGAGTCTACAGCTCCCGGTCTGACCACTTCCGTCTCTGCCCTGCCACCCCTTCTAGACAGCAGCTCGAACCAGCTGCCCAGCAGCAAGAGGATGCGCACGGCGTTCACTAGCACGCAGCTGCTGGAACTGGAGCGCGAGTTCGCCTCCAATATGTACCTGTCCCGCCTTCGCCGCATCGAGATCGCGACTTACCTGAACCTGTCGGAGAAGCAGGTGAAGATCTGGTTTCAGAACCGCCGGGTAAAGCACAAGAAGGAGGGAAAGGGCACCAACCACCGCGGGGGCGCAGGGGGCGCCGCGGCGGGGGCCGGCGGGGGCGGCGCGCAAGGCTGCAGGTGTGCTTCGCTCTCCTCGGCCAAGTGCTCCGAGGATGACGACGAGTTGCCTATGTCTCCGTCCTCCTCGGGGAAGGACGACCGGGACCTCTCGGTCACTCCGTAGGCGCTCTTGCCCTTAGGCCGACTCACCCGGGGCCTCCGGTAGCACCAAGACTGGTCCTGGGACTCGGCGTTGGTCCCTAGGTACCCACTGCCAAGCGACTTCCTCGCCCGGGTTTGGCCCCGCTTTGCGGAATCCCCCAGCTCTAGGCAGAGCGGGGATTTTAGCAGAGACCTGCCGGTGGTATCCGGGCCTGCAGGGCTCCCAGGTGTCCAAAGAGAACTCCAATTTGGGAACCCCGCGGCGCTCCAGTCCTGCTCCGCAGTGCGTCTCTCTGGCACGCCTGCTCAGCCCAGCGTCTCGCTGGCTGCTGGCTGCCGACGCCTCTCCAGCCTTTTCTGGGCTGGCTCAAGCTTCCTCGCTTCCTCTACTTTCCTTTATCCTCAGTCAAGCTCAGCCTTTGACGTGGATGTCCGTTTGCTTTCCTTTTTTAAAATGTCTCTCCCTCTCAATTCTTTTCTGTGGTTGCTTAATCCACCCACGCCCACACCACACGTTGATGAGCTTTCCTCTCCTTCCCTTGATCAAGCCTTGCTGTTGGAAGTCCATCCAGCTTCAAAATTCCCCATGATATCCGTACCGGGAGAACAGATCTATTTTGTTACCTATTTGCTCTACCATTCCCCAAGCTCTTCTCCTGCGATCCCTCTCTAACCCCCAGGTCCTGCCCTGCCTGGGCCTAGCTGTGTAATTGTATGGTTTCTGTAATACCAGAAGATATTTATTTATTTATTTATGTACAAAATTTTAAATAAACTTTTTTTTTCTTAGAAATGCCCGTGCCTCTGGGCTCCAAGACCTCTCTGGTCTGGACTAGACAGGCACTGGCTTGGATTGGACCTTCCTTCCGGGGCAGGGTAGGGAGGTGTTACCAAGGATTCTTAGCTCCAGCCCTCATCTCACTGCTCCCCCAAACGCACAGCCTGCAAGAGACCCAGGCCTCTGCTCCAGCACTGTGCACTTCCCAGAATCATCTCCAGCCTGGCACTCCACACCCTGGCCCATTGGCTGAACTAGAAGGGAGGGGGGGAGCTCTCTTCCTGATGCATCTGGGTAAGGACACCTGCAGCACCTCAGGCCAGGGGTGGACCCCACCTCCAGCCCTCCAGGTTTCATTCTCTAAGCAGGTGGCCGTCCTTGGGAACAGACACAGAAACCACCCCCACCCCCAATTCCCTCCTCAACTACAAGAAATCTGTTCTTCGCTGCACTCCAGTTGATAAGAATTCATTAGAGATGAATCCCTAGTCTGCAGGATGGTGTGCCCTCCACTTGAAAAGGTCCTCTTGCTTTGCTTTGAGGCAAATTCTTTTAGTGGGGTACCTGGTCATAGGTCATCCTGGGTGAGAATTTGGAGCACCCAGAGTGATCCCACCCTAGGAGTTCCTGAGAACAGCTTTGGGACCTCAAGTTCTCACCAATTCTCAACAACCACCAGCTTCTAAGACTTAGAAGCCACACCCCAGTCTTCCTTGAGAACACATCCAGTCCTTTTGTGTTTCACGGTACATGAGGAGAAGGTTCGTGGGGTGTGCCAACACCTCCTAAGGGCAGGTATTGCTGCCGCTCAGGGAATCACACTGAAAATAGTAGATCCAAGTTCTCTGTACCTCCCAAAGACTCACATGCTGGGTCTTGGACAACTGGGCTACTTCTAATCCACCCTTCCCTTTCACCATGGGGAGCCCCTGGACTCCTTGTATATGGGCAAACAAGTGCACTTCTTTCAGCCAGAAAGTTGCTCCAGTTACAGTTGCTCAACATTTATGGGGCTCATTTCTAAAACTCTGTCTTTTCCTTTGAATCAAGCAGAGTCTCTTCTATTCCCCTCAGAACAAGGGTGGGTGCCATGGAGAAACCATTTCTAGTTCTTCTGGAGGAAGATGCCTGGGTTGTACCCCAGCCAGAGAGCAGTTCCACTTGCCTGTCAGCAGTCTCCCTTATCCATCAGTCTCCACCATTCCTAGGAAGGGGATATCGTGCCAAGTCAAATGAAGCTAAGGTGCTTTCAGGCACACGGACACACTGTGAATAGAATGCCAATATTTCGGTGATAATTGTGATGCTGACTTGCACATGGATGGCACAGCCGGCCTAGATTTCAGTCCGTGCGATTGTGTGTCCTCAACTCCAGTGAGATCCACCAGTCTGCCTTTGCCTGGGACTTGGGGGCCAACGGTAGATGGCTCCAAGCAGATAGATAAGTGGGGGGCCGAAAGCTTTGATTAGAAATATGTCCTCCCTGGGATAAGGGAAGGGGTGGCCTTTTGTGCTCGGGACAGCACTCTGACAGGATCCTCCTTCCGAAATGCAGTTTCCACCAGTCAGGGAGCCAAGCTGGGAGGGAAGGGATGGAAACAGGGCCAGGAGAGACTCCGGGGGCGGAATGCACCATCCCACAGCCTTCAGTTTTGTCACCCAGTGTAGGGGCAAAGGAGTCCCTCCTGTTCCTAGCTGTTCCCAGAGGGCAAAGATGGGCTGCACCGTGCAGGTCCGCACAGGTTCAGTTTCCCCGCCCCGCTCACAGAACCCAGAACCGTAGGCTTTGCGCTTTCTGGTGGGCTGCCCTGGAGAGCAGGTGGAGCAAACTAGGCCCCTTTGTGCCGACGCCAGTGGATCGAAAGACCCTGTTGGGAGCGCGGCGCCGCAAAGTGTGGAAGCTGCTGCGGGCCCTGGGGCTCTCAGCGGTCCGCCGGGCCTGGACGCAGCGACCGGCGTTTGGGTGCCAGCACTACTGGGCTCAAACACGTCTCACTTTGCCTCCTCCGAACTGAAAGCAGAAATAGTCCGGATTTCGTAGAAAGCCAGACGCGAGGCTCCCGGCTCGACCAAAGCCGCTCCTCTGCGCCTGGGCTGAGGGCAGTGCAGAACGGGGCTGCAGCTACCGGCTACTGCAAACTGGAGCGCTCAGTTGGGGAGACAGAATCCAACCTTCAGACCGCACGGTTCTGAGCTGGAATTTGGGCTCTGCAAGGCAAATTATGAATTTAGAATCAAACTGGGTTATCAGGATGAAATTTCCCCCGTAAAGTACCATTTAACAGTAGCCAATCCACATTTAGACCCTGAATTTATTTCAGAGACAATGTCCTTCTTTTCCCTGTGACGTTTAGTGACTAGGTGTTCTGGCCCTGGAATTCGCATGCCCGACTTTGTGACCCATTTCCACATCTACTTACAACCTGGGTAAACTTGACCACGCCACCGGTCCCTCCTAAACTACTGGTCCTTGCTAACCCTCAATTTCTTCACTTGTAAATGGGGATTATATTGGTTTCTTTGCAGGCTTGCCTAGCAATATTAAAGAAGAAAATTCACAAAATGTTAAGCACCTGTCTGCCAAATTTCAATAAAGGTTAACTAATATCACGTGTTGTAATTGCTACTCGTGGGGTCTATAGCTGTGCCAGTGACTGGTCACATGCAGACTTAGATCGGAATCAACTACTGAGGGGCTGGAGAAGAGCAAATGGAAAGATTTCCTGGATTCCCTGGAGTTAGTGGGTTAGAGAATAAGGACTGACGCCCTCTGCCCAGCACTGCTCAGGTGCTGAGAATCACTGAAGTCCAAAGAGGAGTCAGTCCTCTTTCCACCTTCGTGGACCAGTTCCTCCACCTTGCACTATTGACCTTGTGACTGGATGAGTCTCTGCTGTGGGGACAACTCTGTGCATTGCAGGGTGCTGCACAGCTTCTCTGGCCTCTACCCATTGGTGCCTGTAGTGGCCCTCCCAGTTAGGACAGCCCAAACCCCTCCAGGCACTGCCAGCAGTCCCTTGGAGGGCAAAAGGTTGAAAACTACTCACTCAGTCCAGATGATGGCACTGGACAGGATTTGGAAGCCTAGCTCTGAACATACCTTCCTTTCTCACCTTCCGCCTTCCACTATACTTTCTCTTGAACAGCTGTGCCTTCTCCATCTGGAATACTGGAAATGTACTGCAGCGAGGTTTTGAGCTGGAAGGAAAAGAAGAGAGGGTTCTGGAAGAGTTGGGAGACAGCAAGGTCAAGGTCCCTTCCTGCATAGGGAGTGTGCTGCAGGTCTGTATACCCTAGCATGTGGATGAAGGGTGACTCAGAGGTGTTTTCCCTGAGCAGTTAAAGGCCTTCAAGGCCTTCCTGAAAGTATTCTGTCCTCCTGTCTCATCCCCTATAGATGAGTGGGCTCCCTGTCAGTAAGGTGTAGAAGGCACAAGGCCGGCCTTGGGGGGTTCTCAGGACCTTGAAATCTCTCTCTCACACACACACACACACACACACACACACTTATCACTATTATGGTTCTTCCTGGAGCACATACTTTATCCATTTTGTCAGTATTTGGGTATCTGCAGCTAGAAATCAATTTCTTTTGATAAAGATCTCTGATATTTGGCTAAAAAACAAGTACCCTTGAAAATAGTAACCAGTGAGGACTGGGTGTGTAGCTCAGTGATACCTGCTTAACATATGCAAGTGGTACCTGGATTAAATCCAAAGGACACACTAAGGTGGGGGAGGGAGAGGAACCCATGAGTGCTGACAGCCATTAGCTTTTTCTGAGTGAAGACTCTAAAAAGGCAAAGGAGTAGAAAGGCCTAGAGGGCTGACTGGTGAGGGAGCCAGAAGAGCTGCAAAGGCAGGAGGAGGTCAAAAGCCTTTCTGGTACCAATCAGCCTTGCCTGGGGCCATCTGCCCCAACCCTGAATTCAGAAGGTAAGTGGGCCAGCACACTCCAGCAAACACACTTCACCCGCTAGGTAAGAGATGCACTTACAAATGAGGCAGTGGCCTCAGAAATCCAGCACTACCCCACCCCTGCAGATGGTAATCAGCAGGAGAGTCCCTAATACAATAGGTCCAGCTTCTACAAGGGATGCAGTGTAAGGCCCTGGAGGTCGGGGGTGGGGGATACCTGAAGCTGTGAGAATATACTGTTTTATCCCATGTATGCAAACCTGTGATAAGGTTTAATTTATAAGTTAGGTACAGTAAAATATTAACAATAGCTAATAAAACAGAAAAACTATAACAATGTACCATAAGAAAAGTTAATTTAAACTTTATGAGTTGTTTATTTCTTGAAGTTTTTATTTAATATTTTTGGACCATAATCGAGAACAGGTAACTGAAGCCCTCCCAAAAAAATGAACGAATGAATTTAACTGGGGAGACTACTGTATTAACAAGGGTGTGTGGGTGTGTGTTGCAAGAAAGAAAAGAAAGGTTAAAAATAGTCGGTGAGTCTCAGAGGAGACTAGGCTGACTACTCCACTTCAGTGAGAATTCTATCACTATAAGCCCAGGTCCCAGTACCAGCAGGATCCTTCAAAGGTACCACTTCAAGACCCTGAGCCTCACACCTCCCAGCCTGGCTCCAGGCTTCTGTTGGTGAATGGACATTCTCAACTCAAAGGCAGAAGTGGCTCCTGCCTTGTGCTGAAGAGCCATTTGTTTGACATCCAGTTTGAGCAGCAGTGGCAAGGAAGATGCAGCATTCTGGATTCCTGTCTCACCCAAGTCCAGGGCACAACTGGTCGGGGACTAGCAGATTGGGTATGAGTTTGGAGCAAGCCAGGATTCACTCAGGGAAGGCATACCAGGAGGGGTTCCCTTGGCTGATTGGGATCAAGCTGTTAGATCAATCAACAGGATGGGTCCAGGGGCCACCTCTATTGGTTCACTGTCACACAGAGGTACAGCCAGAAGCAGACAGCTGTCACTCTGATTCCACAATAATGTGAATATCTAAAGTAGCTTTGTGTGGGCTGAATTGAGCTCTCTGGAACATATATTGAAATCATAACCTGCAGTGTTGTTGATAGGGTCTTTAAAGAGGTAATCGAGGTACAATGAAGTCGTATTCAATGTGACGGTATATTTATAAGAAAAGGATACAAGGACACAGACACACAGAGGAAAAGACCCTGTGAGGATGCAAGGAGAAGGAGGACACCTACAACTGGAAGAGAAAAGCCCTATTGCAGATATCTTCAGCTTGGACATCCAGTCCTGCAGTCTGTGGTGCTTCACCGTGACAGTCTGAGTAGATTAACAGAAGCTCTGATCTAGGGAGAGCTCTCTGGGCTTCTGCGTGCCAATGTAGGAATGTGAGAAGATTATGGAGGAAAGAAAATGGAG